TAACCTGTCAAATTCTGAGGGTAATTTACTATGCAGCAAAAGGTAACAAATATTGCCACACACTGCCAAAGCTTACTCAAGAAATACTATACAACCTGAATCTATAAACAATTAAGGAAATTAAATGAGTAGTTAAAAATCTTCCAACAAAGAGAACTCCAGGTTTAGATGTCTTCACTCTTCAACTTTATCAAACATTTAAGAAAATATCAGCTGTTATAATTGTTGCTCCTTTCAAAGTCATCTTTTTCCCCCCTCCAGCTACTTTATGCTTTTTCCATCATAGATTATTGGTAGTTTTAAAAGGATGTGATTTCATGTGGTTTTCATTTTCCTGTTTGTGGTTCATAAGAACTCTAGAACATGTGGTTTGATGTCTTTCGTCAACTTTATAAGGTTCTCAGTCGTTATCTTCAAATATATTGCTTGTTTCATTTTCTCCTTTCTTTCTGAGACACCAATTTACTATGTTAGATCTTGCTATATCTTCTACCTCTTAATTTCTCTTCTGCATTTTCATTGTCTTTCTCTGCCATATTCGTGTATTTTCTTCTAACTTGTGTTTATTCACTAGTTCTCTCTTGAGCTATGCCTATTCTATTATCAAATCCATCCATCAAGATTCTAATTTTAGTCATGGTAATTTTAGTTCTAGTATTTCCAAATTATGTAATTTTCAACTCTGCCAAAATTCTCACAAGTTTAGTTTGTATCTGAAAACTCCAATTCCTGAAGGTCATGAAGATATGTTTAAGTAAAAGCTTCTGCTGGTGTGGCTACTTTTTACCACGTGCCCTACAATATACTTACAAAACTGTTTAGATTTTGCAACCTACTGCATTAATTTGGCATTGCTACAAACAGTATTAGCACGAACTTAGCATATTCAAACAATATATATTATCTCATATATTCTATAATGACTGGGATAAACACAAAGGTGTGGTCACTCACCTAGGGAGTGAGACATCCTAGAGTGTGAAATCAAGTGGGTCTTATTACAAACAAAGCTAGCGGAGGTGATGGAATTAGTTAAGCTATTTCAAATCCTAAAAGATGATGCTGTTAAAATGCTGCACTCAATATGTCAGCAAATTTGGAAAACTCAGCAGTGGCCACAGGACTGGAAAAGGTCAGTTTTCATTCCAATTCCTAAGAAGGGCAGTGCCAAAGAATGTTGAAACTACTGGACAATTGCACTCATTTCACATGCTAGCAAGGTTATGCTGAAAATCCTTCAAGCTAGGTTTTGGCAGTATGTGAACTGAAAAATTCCAGATGTACAAGCTAGGTTTAGAAAAGGCAAAAGTACCAGAGGCCAAACTGCCAACATTCGTTGGATCATAGAGAAGGCAAGGGAATTCCAGATAAACATCTACTTCTGCTTCATTGACTACACTAAAGCCTTTGACTATGTGGATCACAACAAACTGTGGGAAATTACCAGAGATGGTAATACCAGATCACCTTTCGTCTCCTAAGAAACCTGTGTGTGGGTCAAGAAGCAACAGTTAGAACATTACATGGAACAACCTGACAATTTGATTGGTTCAAAATTGGGAAAGAAGTACAAGGCTGTATATTGTCACCCTACTTACTTAACGCATATGCAGAATACATCATGCGAAATGCCAGGCTGGATAAATCACAAGCTGGAATCAAAATTGCCAGGAGAAATATCAATAAACTCAGATATGCAGATGATACCACTCTAATGGCAGAAAGTGAAGAGGAACTAGAGAGCCTCTTGATGATGGTGAAAGAAGAGTGAAAAAGCTGGCTTAAACTAAACATTCAAAAAACTAAGATTATGGCAACTAATCCCATCACTTCACAGCAAACAGAAGGGGAAAAAGAAGAAGCAGTGACAGATTTCATTTTCTTGGACTCCAAAGTCATTGCAGATGGTAACTGCAGCCACGAAATTAAAAGATGCTTGCTCCTTGAAAGGAAGGCTATGACAAACCTACAGTGTATTAAAAAGCAAAGACATCATTTTACCGACAAAGGTCCATATAGTCAAAGCTATGATTTTTCCAGTAGTCATGTACAGATTTGAGAGTTGAACAATAAATAATACTGAGCGCCTTCGAACTGTGGTGTCAAGAGAAGACTCTTGAGAGTCCCTTGGACAGCGAGGAGATCAAACCAGTCAATCCTAAAGGAAATTAACCCTGAATATTCATTGGAAGGACTGGTGCTAAGCTGAAGTTCCAATACTTTGGCCACCTGATGAGAAGAGCTGACTCATTGGAAAAGACCCTGATGCTGGGAAAAATCGAAGGCAGGAGATGGGGACAACAGAGGATAAGATGGTTGGATGGCATCACCAACTCAACGGACACAAGCCTAAGCAAACTCTGGAAGATAGTGGACAGGGAAGTCTGGCATGCTGTAGTCCATGGGGTCACAAAGAGTTAGCAACTAAACACAACTTAGCGACTAAACAATATTCTGTACATCAGGAGTCCAAGCATAGCTCAAAAGGGCCTGTTTCAGGGTCTTACAAGGCTAAATCAAGGTGTTAGCCTGAGCTATGATCTCAGCTGAGGTTCCACTACCCAAACTCACATGGTTGCAGTATTCAGTTTTCTGCAGACTTTTGGACCTAGGACCTACTTCTTGTTATCATTTAGAGGCCACCCTCAGTTGTTTGCCATGTGGCCCTCTCGGAAGGCCAGTTCACAACATGGCAGCTTGCTTCTTCAAAATCACCAAGGGAGAGAGTTTCTTAAGATCAACATAAGAATCTGACATAATATAATCATATACACATTAATAACATATCCCATCATCTTTGTGGTAGTGCATTGATTAGAAGCAAGTCCTATCACCTTCTCCACACATACACAGAGCCAAGACCAGCTTATAGAGATTATGGGGGGGTTACCTTATAGACTGCTCACCATACTAAGGATAGTAACTTCCTCGTAAGACAGTTCAGATTTGCTTTAGCCAAGCATCTGGGAACTCTAAAAACTGTAGATAACTTCAGTCTGATTTCAGGGATTGAGAGTATTCAGAGGTGAGCTGCCTGCCCTTTGAAGCCCTGCTTACTTCTGTTAACTAAGAAGCAAGCAGCTCACTGTTACACATCATGGACAGCCTTTTGGGATCATTATTCAAAGAGGAAGAGTTTATCACTGCAGGCCTCATACTTCAATACCTCTTCCCTCAGGTCCCAATAAGATTGTCAAGATAGCAAGTTAGTATCTCAGATGCCATTCAGAGAATGCCCAGCCCTTTCAGGAAAAGTTGCTCACTACTTGTTTTTAGGGTTCCTTAGTAACTGTTTATCATCATCAGCTCTCTCATGTCTTTAAGCAGATATTTAAAAAATTTGTTTAATTATCAGCTTTCCAGATGCAAGCTGTATAAGATCTGGTCCAAATTACTTGATCTATAACAACTATAGAAGAAAGTCTTATGGTTTTTTTAACATCTATAATTTATCATTTGCTTCAACTTATAGAGAAATACCAATTTATAACAGTGTTTCAACATAATCTAACCAGTTAATTTAAAGCGAGACAAAGTTTACTTTCTTAACTTGGAAAAAAATAAAAGTACCAATTTTTTTCCCATAAAAATACATTGAACCTTTTTATTTCTGGAGCTTTCCATATGGAAAACAAAATCCTAACATTTTTATATAATGAATATTTATGCCTACAACATGTGAACCTAGAAATTAACACGGTACTACAAAACTTTCTAGGTCAATTGACATTTTGTAATATCCCTATATGAAACAGCTTCTTAAATGCTGAATATTCCTACAAATTATGTATTACATCACTCAAAACTGCCAAACAGTAATAACATACTGATTAAATCAGCATTCTGGAGTTATAGTCTGTGATGATGATATTAATTTAAAATATTTGCTTCTGTAAATGACATTCCAATCACTTCTCCAAACTTATTCCTGACTTAGTTCTAGAAGAGGAAATAAATTAAAAATACTTTGAATAAATACCATAAAAAAATAAAATAAAAAATAAAAATAAAAATACTTTGAATAAATAAAATAAAATAAAGTATTTGGCCTTTCAAAGATTTAGAAAATTAATATCATTTGAACTTATAATGTTCAGCAAGTTTTAGCATGAATGATTTTGTTTCACAAGGCTTATCCTTTACATAAACTGTTCATTCTCCATTTTTGTAATCATTTGTAGTAATTTTTTTCTTTTTATAAAATGCATTGTTCAAAGTCTTCTGAGAAACGGGATTTGCAGTCCTACACCCAAAGCATATTACTTATCATTTATCAATTGTGTGAATTTCCCTTGTTCATTTGTATTTCAAATATACAAAGTTCAAGTAAAAAATAAATAAAATATTTGGAGAACATTAATTTGTATTTCATTTCAAAAGGAAATTGTGAAATTGATGAAAACTGGGGCAGGATAATGAATTCTTATCTCTAAAATTAATTGATTTGGAACTAGTGAATCCTTATGTAAATTAAGAATTAGGCTATATTGTTAAGATCTGTAGCTGCTAGATATGCTTTGGAAATAAATACCTAAGTGAAACTCAGACTATTCTCTCTGGGAATAAATTTAAAAATATAATCTGTTTATTAACCATCTTTGGTAGAGACCACTAGTTGCACTTACCTCAATTTTGTACTCCATTTCCCCCAATTTCTCCTAGGCATATTACCATCTGGAATAAAGCTACATTTTTCATCCTTCCTCATAGTTAGGTATTGTAAGTTTTGACCAATGAAATTTAAATGAGGTTGCAACCTTCTCTCACTATCCTCGTTGCTGGCCAGAATGTTGATGTGACAGATGGAGTTTGAACAGCAATCCTGGATCATGAGTTGGAAGCCAAGTGCTGAGGTTGGTAGAGCAGACAGACTTTGAGATACTAAATTCTGAAATTCTTTTAAGTGAGAGGAAAAACTCTCTTTTTTAAAGCCACTGTTATTTGGAGTTTTATGCTGCTGTATCTAATCTTAACTGATACACATTTCAATTGTTGGCATATTATTCCTTTATTAGAAATTGTAAATAAGAAATTATTTCAACACCTGAAGACCAAGATACAACAGAAGATTCCATAGGCTCAAGATTTTGACACATCCTATAAAGAGTTTTCTGTAACGCATATCCCTTCCGTGGCATAGCAACATCGTTCTTCTTTAAAAAAGTTACTGGACAGACATCATTTCCTCCGTCACCTATATAAACAATTCGTGTATAATTGACTCCTTGTTGTAACTGCTCACCTACAAATTCTACCAAAACTACATTTTTGCAAAGATTTTGGGGGCACCGAGTGCAAGAATGAGTGTGATATTTTTCCACAGTGAGATGACCACTGCTATCAAATGCTGCTGGATTTGTAAACACTTGATCAAACACATCATGAAAATTGGCAGCTTCTAAAACCCAATCTATGAAGACTGAATTTGAATCTGAAATAATGATGCAGTCAAATTTATTCTTGTTCTCTCTTATAAAGTTTAGAAGTTCCACCATCCCTGGAGTGAAAGGCATTGATATCATTGCTCTCTTCATTTCATCTTCTCTTACACCTTCATCTCCCAAATACTTAAAGACTCTGCCCATAAATTCTGTCCAAAATCCCTTTTTGTAAGAATCTTGCAGTTCAATAGGAAGCTTTTTCTCTGGAGCACACTGTACAATCCAAGTGTCACTATTATCATCTATGATTGTATTGTCAAAGTCAAAAACCAACAAAATTTTCATGGTTCCAGAAACAGATTTGGGTTACCCTGGAAAAGAAGAAATGTTATTTCCTAACCATATGTTGTTTTATATATCTAGCTGTGAGGTGAAGTGTGAAAGTATTAGTCACTCAGTCGTGTCTGACTCTTTGCAACTTCATGGACTGTAGCCCACCAGGCTCCTCTGTCCGTGGAATTCTCCAGGCAAGCACACTGGAGTGGGTAGCCATTCCCTCCTCCAGGGGATCTTCCCGCCCTGGGACGGAACCTGGGTCTCTCACATTGCAGGCAGATTATTTACCATCTGAGCCACCAGGGAAGCCCCACCTAGCTGTAGTTATCTATCTAACAACTCTTAATCTGCTAAAAAACAAAGGATGAATTAACAAGTTAAAATGACCAAGCACTATTAAGACCCACTATTTAAGCACTTTTTCCTAAGCAAAGTTCATATCTGAGTAGGTTAAATGAATAGAAAACAGAATAGCTAAAAAGGATACTCATGATATTATTGTGTTCTTGAGGAAGTGATTATTTGAGCACTCAGAATTAAACTATAGAGCAATTCAACGAGAGAAGCAATTAAACAATTATTCCCTTCAAGTTTAATTCAGAAAAGTTGTAAAATAAGACCAGAAAAATGTAGGCTAATCATTCTTATTGTCTTTAAATTATTGATCACAAACTTATTAGTTTAAAATATTTACAATAATCTTCATGCTAAATAATAGGTCACGTACAATACAGATTCTCTGTGAACTAACCAAAATTCTGACCAAATTTAACATAATGTGAAATCTTGTAAACCTTAAATAACTTTTCTAAAAAGGTTTTTAGCTTGAAATCATTGCCAATGTTAATCAAATGCTTGCTTGATGCTGTACCTGAAATTCTAAACAAATAACTTGAACTGGAAGTGGATTAAGTTCTCCCAGACTAGAAATAACTTGTGTTAACAAAACCACATTTATTTATATTTTCTCTAGATAGTTTAGTTCTGGAGTGCCAAATAATCTGGATATAAGTGAGTAATCACACTGCTTTTGATATGACAATTACTCAAGTCTCTGTTTTCATTAAAAGATAATGAAGGTCATTAGCTGTAAATTTCAAGAGAAAAAGAAAGAACAAACTGGTCATAGATGGTATGAATATCATCATGTAAAAAAGGTAACTACACAGAATTATAGGAAAATTATACAGAATTGCAGGAAAAGTTGCAATTAATGTCTGTAAACTAAAAAAAACACAATTTTTGTAAAAGAGTAATTGATATTTTTTGAGATATCTGGACTAAGACATTGGACTAAAAACCTCACCATCTCATTTAAGTGTCAGAAGCTCATTTAGTAGGAATTATTATTATCTTCATCTTAAAGATATGTAAGGGCTTCCCTGATGGCTCAAAGACAGTAAAGAATCAGCCTGCAATGCAGGAGACCTGGGTTCGATTCCTGGGAATCGAAGAACCCCTGCAGGAGGGCATGGCAACCCGTTCCAGTATTCTTGCCTCAAGAATTCCCATGGACAGAAGAGCCTGGTGGGCTACAGTCTATGGGGTCACAAACAGTCAGACACGACTGAGCTTCTAAGCACACCTAAAGATATGTAAACAGGAGCTCAAGTATTAAGTTGGTTAAGTATTAGTTAAATGGCAGAGCTAGAATTTGGATTCAAGTCTGCCTGACTCCAAAGTTCATGCTTTAGTAACACATTCTAGTGCCTAAGAAATAGAATAAAGACTATTAATCAGTTTAAACTAAAATACTAAGTAAGCCAATTTGATGAAAAGATGTTAAATATAAAAACACTCATAAATTTCAATGTATACACTAACCATGACATTGTATCTGTGATCTACTTTACAACCATTCTGAGGTTTTAGTAAGAAGTTCCAAAAAGAAAAATGAAGAACCTCATCAAAAAGAAAAAAGAAGAGATCAATTAAAAATAGAAAACATGATATTTATCTATATGTGAGTGAAGGAAGTCGCTCAGTCGTGTCTGACTATGCAACTCCATGGGCTGTAGCCTGCCAGGCTCCTCAGTCCAAAGGATTTTCTAGGCAAGAATACTGGAGTGGTTTGCCATTTCCTTCTCCAAGGGATCTTCCCAACTCAGGGATCAAATCCTGGTCTCCACACTGCAGGCACATTCTTTACCATCTAAGCCACACATGATCATATCTATATGTATTCTCTGGTTTATGATAGATATGCAGTAATTGAAACTGAGGCTAGAGCTCATGACTCATATACTAGTAAGCATTTTTGGTCTCTGAATTTAGAAAATCTAGAGAACAACTAACTGAGAGATTATATCTCCTGTTATATGCATTTAGATGGCATAAAATATTCTGATAGTCTGGATCCTTGAATCTCTAAATGTCTATCCAGGGGTCTCTGATTGGCTTTCAGAGATTTAAGTGCAGAATTCACTTTCCCTAGAAACAATGTAATAAATAACAATAAAGCACAGTTGACAATCCCATTAGAACCGCACCTAAGCACATTTTAAATTAAAATGCTTTTTAGGCATTCTGAATTTATACATAATTTTAAAATTTTTGCAAATGCAACTCACTGTGGGTTGAAAAGTGTTTCAAGCCTAGACTTAATTAGCCACAAGTTACTAAAATCCATGCAATATTAACCTCCAAATAAGATGTATCATAATCCTGAAGTTAACAAAGTTCTGTGTTAACTCAATTTCAATGTTAACTATTAATTTTTATCAGCTGTACTTTCCCTTATTTCAGATCTTTTTCTATTAGTTTTTTTCCCCACCACTCAACACAAACCTTTTTTAAAAAAAATACTTACCCAGTTTAGTATTTCCAAGACAATCTTCCTTCAGCATACAGCTTAGGTTAAACAGTAATGACTATCTTCATCTTTAAACACCCGCCAGTTTCTAACCAACATTACTCCTACGCTATATGCAGGGGAAAAAGTCTTCTGGTTTGGAGCAAGGGAATTGAGACTTCTTAAATTGTAAAATAAAAGAATTTAAGACATTTTAAAATTTATGTTTTCTAATATGCTTTCTTTTACATCAGAAAAGCACCTACTGGCACTGGGAGAAATAAAATTTTGTTTAAACAAAAAGTTTAAATACAAAACAGGGAATGTTATGTGAATATAAGTTCCAATAATGAAAACTAGAATAGGGAACTGCTTAAATAAGATATGCACGTGATAGTCACATAACAGAACATCTATTTCAGCGGTAAAAGGTTAAGATGTTCAAATTAAACAAACAAGTCACAAGAGTGTTTACAGTATAATCTCATTTTTGTTTTTAAAAAAGAAATATCTGTGTACAGTGGTAGCATCAACTGCAGTTTCTACACTGATTTTGTAATAAAGGTGTTCCCCTCCAAATAATTTAAGCTCTGTTTCAAAGTGCATATGCTACCTTCTTAATTTCACAACAAAGGGGAAAAAAACGGAGTGGAGGTCATAGTGGGTAAATAATTTTAGATACACTTGGCTGTAAACATCCATTTACCAGTTAGAACCAAGTGCTGTTAAGTGAAATCATAACTGAACATTATGTCAAATTGGCAAATTACTGACACCAGATCTTGTAAGATTCAATACTTTTTGTAACCAGTTCAGTTAAAATTCCACAGAATTTTTGTTGAGAGGTCATCTCCTTGGGTCTCTAGTGGTTCTGCATATCTTGTAAGCAAGGTACTCACTGCCCTTTGCTCTGGACTGTTGTCTCAAAAATGTTATGTACAGCGAACAGTTTTGAAAGGCATGCATCCTATGGCAACTGGGGCAAAATTACTGATATTCTGGATACTGCTGTAATTCATCACATATCTAGGGGGCTGCATCTTCTACAAAACTGTGGCAGGCTAAGTTGTTAGCATGCAAGCAGAGTAAAATCTCTCTCTTACCAGTTTCTTACTTTTTTAAAACTATGCTTCCAAAAACCCACCAATGTTATATGTGCAAAACTATATTTCTGTCATCAAGTATTTTTATTAATCCTCTCATACTTACCAGCATTATTACGATGGATCATCTGATAGAAAACCTGAAGAAAAATAGTACGACTATGTGTTAGAACTTTAGTGACTAAAAATCTTACCTCCCTTACCAAATTGAACAACTCCAATTTGATGCCTAATGTGTATGTGTTGTACCCAACTAGCTTGTAATCATTTGTACCTCGATTTGTTAGGAAAGGATCTTTTGAAATCAAGTCTGTATCGACTCTTAACAGGTTTGTGTGTCCTTAGAGGTCTGACTGGTCCTCCAAATACATTCAATTTAGTATAGTGTATTTACTGAGCGATTAAAGATTTCTTAAAGGTCATAACATGAATATTTCAACCCAAGTTTTAACATTCCGATTTTAAAAACAAAAACAATTACGCCCCATCTAGTCCGGACCATGCCTTAGAAACCAAAGTATTTAAAAACAGACTTTCTGTCAATTAATTCTTGAGTATCCGTAGTTAAGGGAGCAGGGCTTTGCCCTTCTTACTCCCGCGAGGAGGTCCATGGGCCACACGCGCCAAGCCCAGGCCTCGTTCTCCCACACACCTGCCCGGTACATCCCGAAAATACGGGCAGGAAACTAATTTGGTGTCGTTTCCCGCGGGGTAGGATGACGATGGGAGCATCAGGCCGAGCGCGGCCGGGTCCCGGGACTCCTCACTGACCGAAGCCAGGGCTCCGCAGCCATGCTAGACTCGGCGCGGCTCCCGCGTACTCTGTCCGCCAGCCTCGTCCGGGGGCCTGAAAAAGAGTTCCACCAGCCTCGGACACCGGGCCTTGACTTCCCGCGCAGGCGCAATCTCCCTTCCCCATAGCCTACAACTGCGCGTTCTTCGTTCCTCGGCGACGATTACCGTCACTTCCGGTGGCGTTGCTAAGCAACTGCGTGGTTTGGTGAAAACTCTGCCGCCTGGAGGCCGCGGAGGTTTCGCTTCAAATCGCCTTTCCAAGTCTGAGAACGCCGTGGGCACCTTAGAGATGCTGGTGCGATTCGGAAGGCGCAGTGGAC